TATAAAATCATGACTGTGAATTTAGGCTTTATATTTGTCGGCATCTTCGAATCTGTAACTTTTGCCCTTTTTTTCAGTTACATCTTTAACATAAACTTAGTAATTACTGACATAGATGTAAACGAAAGTACGTCTTACGTATCTTAAACGCATTCCCATTGTAAACCCCCGCTAAAGGAAGCTTGCGCAATCTGTGGATGATTTTCTTGGCAAACAATCCATCAGCAATAAAGCCGGGAAGGTCGTTTAAATAGATTTACATGTCATTAACTCGAATAAAACAAATATAAGTGATCGCGTCTAAGTTTAATCGGAGACAAAAGAAGGAAGACTAGTATCCGCTGCTCAAGAAGAGGTAAATGAAGATTTAGACGAAGAAAAGTTGATTCAGTTGTAAGACGAGATGTTGGGAGTGGTAATGTAAGGTAAAACTTTATCATAGCCCGGACACTGTAGAGCTCTAGCGAAGGATAAAGAGGTGAATCAGGCACAATGCAAAGGAAGCAAAATTTCGAGTACCCCCAACGTTCGAAACAGGACGAATCGATCTTAAAAATTTGGTCCAATTTTGAGTTTTGAAGATGAGGGGGGATTGTCCACAATTTTCAAAAATAAGGTCCATGCAGAGAAAATAATTTAAAGTGATGGAAATGCTAAGAAGGCATCGCAAATTTAATTAAATTTAATCAAGTGAAAAGCTGAACAATTTTAAAAAACTTTTTCATCGTCTTCTGTTGTTTGAACCGAAAATCGCCAAAATAGTTCCCTGCAGAAATGCCGTTCATCTCGAATTGAAAAACATTTTTCCTGCGAAACGCAAAAACCTACCAATGCTAAAAAAGAAACATGACAAAGCCTTCCAATCGCCACCTCGACGCTTCGCTTCAAGGTTCTTTCTTGTGTACTAGAAAAAAAAGGTTAAAATGAAATAAACCAATAATGAAAATAATAATTTTGAATTAATCTTCTTTTGCCAAAATTGGAAGTCAAAATAAGATTTGGAGAGACACTGGTGGGCAGCTCATCTTTGTTTTTGTTTTGAGCAATTTTGTCCCTCGCTCCAGATGCTTGTAGTGTTTTAGCTTGATATGAGTATTTTGTCTTTATTTCTGGTTCCGAATTTCCGGCTCTGTAGTGTTATTGGAGTTTTAAATTTACGTCTTTTCCGTAAGATTGAGTTTTTGTTTAACTGGGATTTTCTTCCCAGTGATGGGAGAAGGTGTGCGACATTTACGGACGAGTTCCAATTGATTAACGAGGACTTTGGACTGTATTCATTAATCGTCGTTAAAGTTCCACAAAGATAAGGAAATTTTATAATTTTCGCAGGGTGCGTCTAGAAAATCGGAAAACCGACTGCGGGGTCTGTCAGCTAGTGGCTAAACATATTTTTTCTAGGTCATTATGTGTAGTACTATTAATTAATTTTCCGGGTTCCACCCTTAAGCGTCAATTTCAAGCCTTACGCAAAACGAGTTAATAGCCGTTCCAAGGGGGTGGCGCGGTGTGATGGCAGACATGGAAATGCACTTTCATCCTAGACGATGTTTCGAACTGGTATTTACAGCCTCCTAGCGGCTGTAAACGATCTGTTTTTGTCTGGATTTTTACGTGAGATTGTCCGTGGTTTTACCGTGGGATCGCCAACTATTTTGAATTGGCTTACCTTCTTGGCTTAAACAGAGAGGTTTTTTTTTGTTTGGAATCGAACCAGATAGATCATGTCTTCCTTTTCAGATGTAACGTGCGGAACACTTCGCCATTTGTCAATTCTATTTGTCGTTGTTAAATAGTGGTGTAAAAATTCCTCTCTCCGACACAGAAATTTTTAAACGTCGAACGCCTTTTCCTGTATGGTTTGCTGTCACGAGGAGACAGTTTGACGGCTGGAAGTCCTAAAATGATGCGTCTCGTAATTAGAAGTGAAGTTTATTGTATTCAGTTTTCATCTTCTATTTCACGTGGATAATTTGGTCTTTTCATTACATATTTCCTATTTCGAGAAACAAAAATTTCCGATTAGGTTACGTAGAACAAACGGTGTGAACAGAAGGAAGTGATTCTACTTAAGTTACATGACCATGGGAGACCTGTAAACTGGCGTGAATTTCCTTTAGTGTCATTTGCGTCGGCGTGTATTTTTTTCCTTGGCCATGAAAGCATAGCGCATTTTTTTTCCTTTGCTTTTGCCACGATTCTTAATTCGTTAGAACTATTGTAGTTGTACAAAAGCAAATCCCAAAAAAATGTAAATAAGCTGCGCGTTTCACAAGCCTCACACAGCAAACGCGCACTCATTTTTTCTTGAGAGAACTTTTTAAGTTTTGTCTACTAGAAATAGCTCACCATGTAGAACTTAACAACATCTGTGAAAGTACTCAGTGAAAGGAAGAGTCGGGCTATCCTTTCCATAATGAAATTTGTTATTCTTGACTTAAATCAAAATTTTCATAGCATGTGAAATCGGTCGCCAATTATTCCAGAGACGAAAACTTGAGGCCACATGGACAGTTCATTACCTTTAGGCAAATTTTCCTTTATCCTTCCTGTAGTCTTACATATTTGTTTTATCAGAGCAATTACTTACAGGGCACAATTAGGTCAAACGCGCCATTAGATCTTCGAAAGTTTTAGAAAAGGATATCGGATGAATTTACTCAAAGGTGATATTGTAGTCCAAAATATCATTGGGTTTTCCCATTTTTTTTTTGGGGGGGGGGGGGGTAGTGGGATGTTGACATTTGTGTGGTACTGGCAAAAACTTCTTGACGGCTTTGCTTTTCACAACCTGTGTAAGAACTTGCTGCATAACTGAGGAGGATTAATATAACGAAGGAAGAGTTACCTATCCATTTGGATATAAGCTTCACACCAAAGCAACATTCTTCTTTTTTCATCGTCTTTCAAGATAATGCGATGTAACGCTGGCTATACCAGCGGATATATATCAGCTGGTATAACTAGTAAGAGCAACTTTGATCAGCATAAAGATTGTTTGATGGGATTGTTTTTGGGATTAAATTGAACTGAAAACAGCGATCAAAAGTCATAGTCATCCTGTATTTCATGGGACCAGTTTTTTGGTTTTTGTTTGTTTTTTCTTGTTTTACCATTGAAAGATTCTCGCCTTTTCGAAAGAAAGGACTCTTTAACTAGAGATAAAAAAAAGAACAGATAATTTTCAGTGTGGTCTCTTTAATCTCCTTGGTAACAACTATTGTAAAGGAATACTGTCACTAAGAAACTAGAATACAATATATAAAGTCGAAGAAATGTGTTGCTAAGAAAACAAAAGCTATTTCGATAGCTATGGCTAATTTAGCACAATTCTTTGCCAGGAGCCTCTATAATTATCGATGTATATTTCCGCTTGGTAAGCGGATTAATCACTTCCATTGACGCACTACTAGATATTCTAGCAGTTCATTAAGGTCTTAGGATCCAAAGATAATGACTACAAAAGTCCCTTCGCTCACGTAACAACTTAAGGCTGCCGTTGACCACTAATGTTTAATGCACTTAAGTTGATACCCAGCAGTATAAACGATTCTTTGAAACCAAATGTATCACTATTGTTATTTACTATTTGTGCGTTCTTCTTCTTCTTTCTTACCTTTGGTCGCGTGAATTACGTGCCACGTGTTCTTCTTCTTATCAAACACTCTAAAAGGTACAAATGATTAATAGGTCAACCCTACAAACTCAAAGAGTGACCAGCAGTTAGTTTCTTCCCACAGTAATACTACTAAATCGTTCATTAAAGTCGTGAGAATAAAGGAAATGATCACCAACCTACGAAGCTTTGATTGTTAAACAAATTCTCCCTGTCAGCACTGAAGAAAACGGTTAAGCGTAGAATATGGAGAATATGGATTTTGACCTTGGATGTAAAGGGTTAAACGGATCACTGAATGTTAGGAAATTCCAGCCATGGCAACATGAATAATCTCACGAAAGTTTTGTATTTTTGTGCCGAAAACGAACGTCATAGTAGAGGACCTGGACACCACAATAAATCAGCATTTGTTAACTTCCGAATCGCGCAGCTCGCACGTTCAGAACAGCCTATGGTTCCTTCTTCATTCGGATCTTTTTTTTCGGATAATTCAGGGTCGCTACTTTTAATTTTATTCAAACCTTCACTGCGAAGCTGCTTCAGAAACTATCCTATCCCCGCCACCTGTCTGATGTTGGTCGTAATTTCCTGTGCTCAACATTCAAAAATAGTTTTTAACCGTGTTTCTTACGTAGTAAAATCAGTGATTAACTTTTGGATTGAATTTCATTTTAAATCCTCTTAATTTAAGTTAATTTCCTTTGCTCTTGCATCTTTATCCTGGCGGAGACCTTAAAAAGAATCTGTGACTACGTTATTTTGTGGTTATTTAAGCGTGGTCCCTTTTATTTTATTTTTCACATTTTCTTGCATCTATTCTCGATTAAGAGTATTTTAACTCTCCTTTAGTTTTGGGAAAGCTCTATCGCAAATTCGAAGGTTATTTAAGCCAGTAGTCATATGCAAAAATAAGATTAGATTAAATCATTATAAATCAACAAATCTGCAATGCTTTTCGTCTTTCTAAAAGAGACAAACTGGACAATTCTCTCCTGATAAAAGACAAAGGGGCTTTCGATTGATTTTATTAATTGAACACAGAAAACACAAGATTTTAAGGGAAAATCAGCATTCCTCGACCAAAAAAGTAGCAGCTTTTTTGTGGTAGAATTAAATATTTTATTTTACACTTGCAGCAGTGAAAACTTCCCTCTTTGGATCAAGTGCGCCTAGATTTGTGTTGAAACATAACGATCCTGGAGAAGGAGATACTGCATGTGTACTTATTTTGTTTTTCTTTTTTGTTGTTGTCAGGCAACCTTTTAAAAAAATCTACTTAGAGCAGTCCTTACGGATGCACCTTCTGTTTTGGTTGGTTGGTTTAGTTTTATCTCTAATGCTGATTTTCCCGACAACCTTGTATGTGAGGGCGAGAATAATCCAATCACCGTAAACAGTGACTTTTATTAGGAATTGAAATTCCATTTTTTTGGCCGGTTAATTTTGGCGCTTTCCTGTGTCTGATTTTTACCGCGTGCTTAATGAAGAAAAGATACCATCTCTGCTCTATTCTCATGCGTCAGAGTGACTAGATAGATTTTTATCAGGAAAGTAAATGCTCTCAGAGTCTTCTTTTATCAGAATCCACAACAACTGTCCAGGTTTACCTTCACCGTTTCCTGCGTTTTAGATACTGATGAATGACGTTACGCACGAGTTCCAATCTTGATCCTCCCACGCCACCTTCGGTTGTGACTTTTTGTTGCGTCACGCCAGATTGCATGCATCTTTGAAAGTAAAAAGTAACAGAAGGAAATGTATTTAATCTCGTCAGTTGCAATGGCACAAAGGGCAATCTGTTTAGCTGCGACGAAATTCTTACAGTCAAGAATAGTTTGGCCATTTGTATTGGAATTTCCTATGACGACCTATTTTTTGTTCGGCCAATTTGACGCAGTTAAAGGGTGTTCAGGTATCGCTTTATAGCGATGAAAGCAATTGGGTGAGAGAGTGAAAAGATTCAATTTCCGTGGGAGTAGGAGTTGGGGGACGTAGGGAGTTGATGCTCGAACAATTCGCAATTAAAAGTTTTATGTTGATGATAATGCAAAGTAATTGGATAAAGTTCGGCTTTTTCCCGGCCTGCAAAAGGGCTGTAGAAACTACAGATATCGAATGAACCACATGGCCACTATTACTCAAGACCTCTTAGTTGTTTGTAAGCTGACAGAGTGTTCTATAAATGATCTATTATTATAGTAAGCTAATGGGATTTAGTTCTAAACTGTTGTCTACTTATCAGGGTATTTGTTTACATGTGTTTGGCCACGCGCGTTTTCGACCCGTGAATATTGCATACCATAGATTAGATTGAGATTTTAACGTTAAGAAAAACATGTTTTAAAAAGTTCGCTTTCAACAGCATGGAACAGTTGACCTATTGTGCAAGTGGACATATGAACCATTCCAATTACGCAGTCAGATACGATATAGAAGACGAGAGAAGCAATGGTGAATTCCCGATTAGTAATGTTTCGCCGTTACTAAGCGCTTAACGTCATAACATCAGAGGTTTACCTGTTTAACTTATGCTGCTCTCTTTCGTATCGTTTCCCATGGAAACCAAAACCATCGTCTCTTGCTATGTCCCGAAACAGTCTACAGAGAAAATGCGACGTTCGGTAGACATAGTGTGGCACCACTCTGGTGACTCATCTTAATGATGTCGGGGAATGCAAAAAATTGACCTTTTCGCCTCAGATAGAACCTTCGCGCCCAACCAAGACATTTATAGTCTTTGAATAACTGAGAAGTGACGTTGCGGTGTTCTAGGTTACGCTTTGTTAATTTGTATAAACTTTGCGGAGGTGGGCAGTTTTTTGCGTCATGGTTCTGCCATTCCGCAGGAAATACGTCGTCTCGTCCGGGGTTTTCATATAAAACAAGGTGTTAGCGGTTTTTTTAATTTTCTGATATAGAAATACTTCAACGGTCAAGCTTGATTAAATTTTCTCGGTCGGTGAACTGAACACATCTCACCAGTGAAGTGATTGATTAACAAGAAGATCAAGGACAGACTGCTAATGTCAAAAGAGGCGCTAAAAGCTTGATTAAGGTACGAATTCATATTGTAGACTTCTAGGATGATATATTGTCCTGTTACAGCTTCTTTTACAGTGAAAGGGATAGGTTCATTTAAACCATTTTTGCCAAGACTTATCTTCGTCTCAGGGGCTTAGATTTTTTTCTTCCTTTTCCTTGGCCAAAAAAACACTCGTAGCGGTACTTGATATTTAAATGGAAACACTTCTGGAACCAGGGTAGCCATGGCAAATCGTTGCGCTTTAAGACGGTAGGAATTTCCTTGCCATTTGGCGATGTAATAACTAAAACTGACCTAGAACTGACGTAGCTTTACAATTTTGCCATGAGCGAATGAGCCTTTCTTTCCGAACTTAATTTGAGTAAAATGGCTCAGTTGCGAAAAATTATTAGTTATAATATTGGAGTAGTGTGTTCCGTCCCGTGTTCATTCTTTACTCGTTTTCGGCGTTAGAAGCTTAACATTGCAAGTGGCTTTACCTTTCCAGACAATGATTTTAAAATTGATATCGACTCCGACCTTCGTGAACCTTTTTATTATGACGACTATCTATAAAATGATTAGGTAAATTTACGCTAGATTACTTTTCGTTTCTTTGCGTTAGGCTTTAACCCGATTTGCGCACGATAAGGCAAGAATGTAATGCTTTCTCGCTTTATGTCTTCTTTTCTTCTCGCTTTTTAGGCTTTTTTTTTATTTATCCCTAGAACAAACTAGAAGATCATGAAAACATAGCCGATATATGGACGCGCTTTAACGTCGAATTATTTCTCACTTCTTTAAATTTTTCTTAAGTCAGGTCGTATCGTGACCCTTGTGTTTACCTCAACTCGGCGATTTCCTGAATTCAGCAATCAGACATTAATATGTTTTTGTTCTACGCTTCTTAGTTTATTTCCATAGGAAAAGGTGCGCGATTAGTGTGAAGCGGAAGAAAAACTCCTTGCGGAAAGAGAAGTATGCTTAGGTTATTTGCAAAAGGATTTAGTTGCATTTTTGAAGTTTCTACCCCTAGGAGACACAGCACGGTTGCGAATCTTTTCAACAATAGCTGAAGTGAATCATTTAGCGGTATGATATTCGCGGTCAAAATTTTATTTACACAAACCCTTCAAGTTTAATTCTATGGCGGTGGAGTTACGGCGGAACCCGTACATTGTGTGCCAAAGTAAGCACTTTGTTAATGCCCAAATCGGAGAAAGCGACGGCACTTTATCTTTACACTGTGCGGTATTTTTAAGGGTCAATAACTAATTTTCGCCAAGGAATTAACCATGTATCATTTAAAAAGACTGAAACGCATTTTTTTGAGTTAAGGTTTCCTATCCTATCGTTTGACACTTTTGACAGGAATCGGGGAAATTTGGAAGGTATCTAGAAATAATAAGCTTGATCATACTCTTGTCACGGTCTAAAAGGGTCACAAATAATATAATTTGGTTATATCGACTAAGTTGAAATTGTAAATTGGCCACCGTAAAGAGTTAAAAAGCTGACGTTTCGAGCGTTAGCCCTTCGTCAGAGCGAAGAAGCAAACGCTCTTCGCTCTGACGAAGGGCTAATGTTGGAAACGTCAGCTTTTTAACTCTCTACGGTGGCCAATTTACAATTTCAACTTTGTTGATATAACCAAATTACCTTCTTACCCCCACCGACGCAACACCAAAGTTTCTTTAGAATCTTACCCCCTCTACACATATAGCGTGAATAGTTGTCTACGCTCTTTTCTTTGATAGCACAATATCCTGACGCCTTAGTTTGTAATGATTCAATTATTTAGCTTCATTCAAAGGAATTAACTGGTGACGATTGACTGTGAAGTTTGTCACTTAGATGATCCCTCAACACCAGCTTTAAGAGTCCTTTTGCTTGCCAAGTATTATTTTTTCCATTTTTCTTAATTTTTGAATTTCGAGTTAAGGATGGATTGTCATGGTTTTGGTCTTTTTTTTTTTTTTTTGCGAGAGCACTGAAATCGTTTAAACGCTTTCGTGAAGTGCTTTGTTACCAGTATAGTAATTAAAAGAAAAACGCAAAATGGTTACAAATTTGAGACGAAGCCAAATTCATCATGTAACGAAACACACACCTACCTGAAATGTGTCTTTCAACATTATACTTGACGACTTCTTTGGTTGAATAACCGTGTCCGGGAGACTTGAAGTGTACGGCTCTTTTCGTAAAACCATTATATCTTTTTAATTCGACATATAAAGGGGAAAAGTTCTGTTTATTCGAAATTATTTCAGACAGTATGTCGGGCTCGTTAAGATATTTTTCAGTATTGTTGATGGAAGCTTTCCAGTCCGAGACATCTTAGGAGGATGGGTGAGAGACCTGAAGTGTATGCCTCCTTTTGAACAACCGTTATGTCTTTTTAATTCAACATAAAATGAGGAAAAGTTCTGTGTATTCGAGGGGATAGATATTATTTCAGACAGTATGTCGGGGCTTATTTTTTCAGTGCTATTGAGGGAAGCTTTTCCAAATAAGGACATATCATGAGGATGAGAGGGAGCTCTTTTCGTAAAACCATTGTCTTTTTAATTCAAAATAGAAAGAGGAAAAGTTCTGTGTATTCGAAATTATAGATATTATTTCAGACAGTATGTCGGGTCTCTTTGAGATATTTTTCAGTATTGTGGATGGAAGCTTTCCAGTTAGAGAGGAGGATGCGAGTAGGATAAGTGAAGTACAGTCTTTTATGGGTTACTCGTCATTTATACCAGCTCTATCCGCTTCCCATATTCGCGGCGTTGCTCAGAACTTACAATGTGGGCTCTCCAAGGCAGACTGTAGCGTTTGACGACAAAGGAAAGTTTCTGCTACTTTTGAATCAAACGCTCTGGGACATAATCGTCCGTCAGTACGTTGTACATCAAATTAACTTAGGAACTTTCCTCTTTTACTTTATGTATTGCCTTTTCTGTCTTTCGTGTCATAAATCTTTGAATGTTACACAAGTGTTTAGGGTAGCTTTGTGTCTACGCCAGCATGCAAAGAGATGATTTTACTACGGAAAACAAAACTTGAGTACTCTGGCAAACATGAATCAATTACGAGTAATGATTGAGTCCATTATTTGTTGCTCAAAACATCTGTGTTATGCATTTCTTGTACTCCTGTGGAGGAGAGTCTACATACGGGTTCTAGCAACTAATCTATGTGAGACGTGGCCTTTGTTGGCGCATCTAGTACTTTGTAGCTCCATTTGGCATCGAAAAATGTAAATCGGCCCTCTCAACACAAGAGCGTCTTGTCGTAAAGCGGTGGGCTTCAGTGTCTATATACTCATCTCTCTGACTAGTCAGGAAGATTAAATCCAAGGATGTGGTGTCGTTCTTGAAGTCTTCCATTTCAGCTCTGTTCAGAATTGGAGGGTCGGCTCTCCAAAAGTGACAAGTCACAGAGAAAAAGTTCAACGTTTTCTCGTGGAATAAGGGTGCGACATAATCTATGGTTTCAATTTGCACGGCACGTCATAAGTAGGTCACTTTGAAGCAGGTTTGTGCACTGTTTTTGTGTTATTTGGGCCGCAAAACGCTGAAGGGACATACATGACTCTCGTAGAATTATCAAATAGCAGAACGTGTATAGATAGGAGCATTGTAGACTTTCCTGAGGGAAACTTAATCTACCAGTTCGATTCGAAGTAACAGAGCGATTAGAAGCCTATCGTAAGATATCTTCGCGAAATTGATGAAGTCATATATCTTTAGATAACCAAGTAAGGATTAGATCGATAATGAGACACTGACGGTTATGTATGAGTTTCGGGTTGCGTGGTACCGAGAAGAATTATTAAGCAAGTAAGGATGCTGCGCTAAGTTGTATCCTGTCTATCACTGATGTAAGCAGTCGCCGTTCTACTTTACATGTTGGAATTTTGAAGCCTTTGCTATCCCACTAGCGGTTTACCACAACAAAATAGACTACATTTGAATCGAGTAGTTACCACCAGAAATATGATACGTCAAGTTGAAAAATTTTGTCAATAATAATGTCCGCGAACACCTTTTAGGACTCACCCTGAAGGACGAAAAGGCTGTCTAAAATGGTACTAGAGGCCGACAAAGAATGGAGGCCGGAAATGATTGAAAGGATGTTTTTACTGAATGTTTGTGTAGAGTTTAACATTGGAAGCCTCTTGCATTAACTTCAGTACTAAGTTGAACGTGTAAAATTCCGCCATATCCTATTGCTAGTGTTAATTGTTTTATAATTTTTATTCTGCTTACAAGAATAATGGATGCGTTTACCAACCACTTACCCCCTGAGTGCAGGGAAATTAGTTTTCGTCACTTTTGCCGATTTCATCAGCACTTATTCTACGAAATATGAGGAACGTGCACAAGAAAAACAACTTACATGTAATTCATCCGCGCGGCAGAAATTAGTTCCCACGAAATGAGAGAGTGGGACATTGTCAGATCAAACTAAGGCCGTCAGACAAAATCAGTAAGTTTTCCAAATCTTGGCACATTTGAGCATATGCTGGTGTCAGAATGTAATTCTTGGACTCGCCGATCGTTCCACGACATGAAACAACTCTGTCACTCCAATTTTTGGTGAACATATTCAAAAATTATTTCTCCTCACTGCATCTTTGGATAAGGTCCGCGAAATAGGGTTTTCAAATTTTGGTAAGCAAAGAGATGGTTTTTGGTGATGTTGGAGCACTGCAATTCATGGACTGTTCTACCTTTTGTGACATGAGATAACTACATTGCCCAAAATATGGAAGCCTCCTTAATTATTCTTTCTGCCCTGTGCATCTTTTTGTTTCGTGACTTGCTATTTGAAATAACCATTTTGTTGATTTTGGCTTTGTCGAAGTGTTCTTATTTCTTAAAGACGAATCAGTGCCAAATATGGTTAGATTTTTCAGTTTCAGTTCCTCTTCCTCGAATGTTGTAACTCGCCCTTGGGTTGATTGATCTCTGTGTGGTAGCTTTGTAAACAGTATAACGACTTTCTTATTAATTTTTGTGGTGGGTTCCTTGTAATCTGAGGAAACCAGCCAACCTTAAAGCAACAATTTCCTCTTCCTTAAGAGGGCCCGTAATTGATATTATCATTAGTGTCCGTGTAGGATCTTTTTTCCTATGCGACACAAAAGAAACCAAATATTTTAGAAAGCCACAACCGGCGGCGCCGATGGCACTTTTTAACACTTCGTGTGGACATCTCTGTGGCTGCTGCTGGAGACATTTTTTTAATGGGCGGTCTTCACGAATTGAGCTAAATATAATATAAATAGAGATAATTATTTTCAAATACCCGCCTTTTACACGCAAATTGAACAGGTTCGCGTTAGATCGGTAACATTTCTACTGAGAAGCCCGGGTAGAAAAATGCGTGACGAACTATCTCCCGTTGGAACCACAGATTTATTTGTTTTATGCAAGTTTATTTACAGGACAATACCTACTGCATTTTGGTTGCTTTCGTCCTTTAAAATGAAAGCGTGGAAATACACACGTCATGCGTCCAAAAACTGCATGGCCGATCAAATTTTAGTTTGGTTACTCATGGGTCACACTTAATTCAAATTTCTGTCTAAACTAATCATCCTCGGCAAGCTTTCCTCCCTTTTAGTTGTCCAGTGGAACCTCGACTTAACGAAGTACCAAAGGACTGGGAAAATTGGTTCGTTATATCGAGGTTCAGGGGCATACATTCTACTGTAACTTTAGCTGGGCTGGAAATGAAGTATCGCTCGTTATACCTAGGACTTCGTTATATTGAGGTTCGCTAAATCGAGGTTCCACTTATTTTAAAAACTTACCAAGCTCAAGATGCATTCACGAGTGGTCGATTCAGTTTTAATATAACGCATCATTTGTAGAACTGAAAGGTAAATGACAAATAGTTCAATCAGTAAGACATCTCTTTTGATTTGTTACAGGTATCAAACGTTTTGTGAAATAACCTTAAGAATTTTTCGACGAAGAAGCGGACAAGAGTAAACGACGAGTAGAACACACTTCAGCGACAAATAACATGGAAAATGAACTGAATGGATCTGCTGCTAACCCAAATGCAACGGAGTCTTATTCAGAGTCTTATTTCGAGGCTTATTTGGAGCCTCTACCGCTCAAGATATTTCGCTTTGTAATCTACGCTGTAATCATCGTGTTTGCATTGGTGGGTAATGTAGCCGTGTGTATTATTTCAAGTCGCACTCGTCGCCTTCAGACAAGCACGTATTGTTTAGTTATGAACTTAGCCATTTCTGACATCGGATCTGTGCTTTGCCTCCCGTTCTTGTTACCTGAACTCTTTGTTGGAAACTGGCTGATGGGGGAAGCCATGTGCAAACTACTCAAACCCAGCGTTGTGGTGTTTAACTTTGTAACAACGAACACGTTGGTGGCCATAGCATGTGATCGTTTTCGCGCCGTGGTATTCCCGTTCGTCATGCGACCGTCAAAGTCAGAAACACGCTTAATCATCGCAATACTTTGGCTCGTCGCTTTTCTTTTTTCTTTGCCTTCGTATGGTGCTATGACTGTCATGGATTTTCCAGAAAGCCCTGGCTTCTACTACTGTTTGGATGTTTTCTCATACGACTTGGAAAAAGACACTTTCTACCGTCGCATTTACACAATAACAATGTACGCCGTGAATGCTCTTCTTCCAGTACTCGCCATCTCGGGGCTGTATCTTAAAATCACAGCAACTTTAAAACATTTTCGCCTCATACCAGAGGCACTGAGGCCCAATCGTTCATGCTCACTCAACACCTCTCCCAATTCGAGTCCGCGCTCTTCAGTGGTAAATACCAACAAGCTGAACATGAATCCCGCAGGCGCAGTAAGGAGGCAGATGATGGAGAGGAAATTTCTCAAGATGTTAATGACTGTGCTGCTTGTTTACGTACTGTGTTACCTTCCTTTCCAAACTTTGTACCTCGTTTACGAGTTTAATCCAGATCTGGCATATCTAAGCTACTTACAGCCACTTTCAGAGTATTTATACTTGATTGTGTGGCTTCCGAACGCTCTGAATCCAGTTTGCTACGGTTGTTTAAACCAACAATACAAGAGAGCGTTTAAAGCGTTGATATCTAAACCTCGAAAATATTTGCAGTCATTCAGATCGCGGCGGACTTTTTCAACAAGAACTAATACCTTGGCTGGAGTGAAAATTCGGTGAACTACTGCAGCTAAGCGGGGAGGGGGGGGGGGTTAGAAAGAAAGACGAGATATTTATTTTAAAAATATGAAAATATAACTCCGTACATTATCTGCATTTCCTTTGGGTGTGCTTCTTCATATTAAAACACGCAACGTTCTTAAGTTACCCGGCGTCTAATGCTTATGGCTATCGTAACGGTGGCAACGACTTAAGACTGGCTGTCAAATCAAGCGACACCACGGTACTCGAAAAAACCAACGCTTGTACTTATCCAGTTTCATAGTTCATAATAAGAGAAAGGCAGCAAAAAGGAATATGATATGTATAGTTTTGATCTGTATTTATGAACGATAGAATGCTGCAATAATTCGATTATTTATAAATATTATGGTATGATGAAAAAAGACATATTGTACAATGAAAATACACCTTACGTGCATACATGTACATAAAGATTTACTTCATAGTATAGCATTGTGATAACGATTAAAGCAATGCGTTTGCTTTTTGTCTCTAAAATGAAAATAAAGCAATTTAAAGCTTATTGCTACAAGAGCTTTGAACCTGGTATCCAGATTATTTTCAGCGGTCGTGGGTACATTGAAACCTGTATCAATCCTTAGACTACTGAAAGTTGGTATAGCATTAAATTCCTCCTTACAACATCACTTTTGAATTAAACACGAACATCATGGGTAAAAAAGTAATGATCGCCAACTAAATGTCTCCTTGATAGTCAAACAAATTCTCCCCGTTAGTACTAGCTTGCTGAGCAGGCATAGTTTTGGCGAGCGAAAGCTCCGTATTTTCTTAGCGAAAATTACGACCGTCGTCTTTGATTTTGATGGAAACGGAAGGCTGGGGAAAGAAGTTTTCACCGAGGGGATGAGTCAGGGACAGTGAAAAATAAGGAGGAGGTGGGGGGAGACCACTTCCCGCCACCTGCCTCTACCGTCGACTATAACTCTAAATCAAGCATGGCTAGTTGAATAAACGATCGCACGCTTCTTAACGTTTACTTGTCCTCATCCTGCACTGCAGGCTACGTTGGTACCACAGGAAGTATATAAAGAATACTACGGAGAATATGCACACTGATGCTGAAGTGGTGCATTTGGGAGAGGAATGCCCCCCCCCTTCGCGACAGTCTCCCAGACCTGACGTCAAATATTTGTAGTTCAAGTGGTTTTCGCTCGGAGGGTTTTCCGCTGCGTTCTCCGGTTTTTACAAAATCCAACCCATCAAATTCCATTTTGAGTAGGAAAATACTGGACGAAAACGTATCCGTGGACGTGCTACTGTTAAATTTCAATTAAATTATTTTTTCTTTCATTTATTCATGAATCGGACATCCCCGAGACCCTTGCAAGTGTTCGCGTTTTGTAAGGTGTCCGTGCGAATTCAGGTTTTATTAAAATGCGTATTATTACGTATGATGCACGATCCTCGCAGTAGATAGCGCTATTTAAGCAACAGCGAAAATCAGGCCTGAAAAAAATCAGGCCTGTACGGGATTCGAACCACTGACCTCTGCGATACTAGTGCAGCGCTCTACCAATTGAGCTAACAAGCCAACTGGGAGCAGGCCGTTAAGTTGATTCGTAATAAACCCGTGAAAGTGATAAATCAGATACAATGAAATATATGAAGTTCATATATTTTGAACTGCGGTATTAGATACGTATGATGCACGATCCTCGCAGTAGATAGCGCTATTTAAGCAATAGCGAAAATCAGACCTGAAAAAAATCAGGCCTGTACGGGATTCGAACCACTGACCTCTGCGATACTAGTGCAGCGCTCTACCAATTGAGCTAACAAGCCAACTGGGAGCAGGCCGTTAAGTTGATTCGTAATAAACCCGTGAAAGTGATAAATCAGATACAATGAAATATATGAAGTTCATATATTTTGAACTGCGGTATTAGATACGTATGATGCACGATCCTCGCAGTAGATAGCGCTATTTAAGCAATAGCGAAAATCAGACCTGAAAAAAATCAGGCCTGTACGGGATTCGAACCACTGACCTCTGCGATACTAGTGCAGCGCTCTACCAATTGAGCTAACAAGCCAACTGGGAGCAGGCCGTTAAGTTGATTCGTAATAAACCCGTGAAAGTGATAAATCAGATACAATGAAATATATGAAGTTCATATATNACAGGCCTGATTTTTTTCAGGTCTGATTTTCGCTATTGCTTAAATAGCGCTATCTACTGCGAGGATCGTGCATCATACGTATCTAATACCGCAGTTCAAAATATATGAACTTCATATATTTCATTGTATCTGATTTATCACTTTCACGGGTTTATTACGAATCAACTTAACGGCCTGCTCCCAGTTGGCTTGTTAGCTCAATTGGTAGAGCGCTGCACTAGTATCGCAGAGGTCAGTGGTTCGAATCCCGTACAGGCCTGATTTTTTTCAGGTCTGATTTTCGCTATTGCTTAAATAGCGCTATCTACTGCGAGGATCGTGCATCATACGTATCTAATACCGCAGTTCAAAATATATGAACTTCATATATTTCATTGTATCTGATGCGTATTATTGTAAGTCTGTCTTGTTTGTGAATATTTATCATTGACTGGTAATTCTAGATCTTCTGACTGTTCTTCAGGAAAGTGTATCAGAGAGTATTTTGCAAAGTGAAGGGTTTATTCAAGCATTCGAAACAATCTTGCGGTAGAAAACAATGTATACGAGCAATTATAGTTCGATTTTTAATTGCTGATAGACAAAGACCTGAGATGACAGGACATCGATTTTGAGAATACCGAAAATTTTTTTACAAATTTAATCAGCAGTTTTCTGTTCCTTGCGAACAGATGAGTGTTAGCGATTTTCAGATCCCGGCATTAAAACTGTAGCTTGTCTTACTAAATATCGATTCATCCATTTGTCTGACAACTACTGTTGAGCTAAACCGTGAAACGTTCGTAAACTTTATTTACAACACGCTTGGACTGGCCATGGTCCGTTGCGCCCCGAACATATATTTAAATGCAATAACAAAACGCATGGCCATTCATCTTCACTATTGTTTCGGCTTAACTTGACCCCGAACGAGACAATTCCGGCACAATAGATTGTCGCATTTTTAAGCGCAAAGTGAGGCGGTTAAGGAGCCTTTTACACCAAGACATTAGCAAGCCCAGGAGACCGCGCATCCAAATAGGAGGAAGCGAATTGTGAGTAACAAGTGTTGTTGAAGGTTATATTTTCCACTTTGAAGATCTCATTAATTTTGGCTTGTTGTTTAACGTTCTGCTACTGGTAAACGGCCATAGTTACGGATACGGTGATCCGGCATGAACGTTAAGATCTTGCACTGTCGTTGTTTAGCTCAGAGAGACTATAGACATCCTGAAAAGCACCATTGTCGTTGAAAGCGACTGACTTTTTGACAATCAATTTGAACGAACGTCAGATCAACTCGCAACACTGGCGACCGTCTGTTGCTCGCGAGCTCAGGCTATTTATAATAAGAATGTTATACACGAATGGTTTGAGTTCTAAAGGATTCTTTTGGCTGTTATTTGGCATACATATCAGCTTTCAGTGTTTCATAGTTTGCAGATTATCTTTCCAAAAAAACAAAAAAACGGAACAAAGACTAAGCAGAAACAATTTATCCTTTTCATTAATCAAATTAGCACATTTCGATTTAAGGCGCTGGGAACTAAAAAGTTTCTTCGATCGGCCTTCAGTAGCAGTTCGATTTTACTTTCTTGAATCAGTTCAGTTTTTAAGTGTCATTTGACTGTTTATACCATTTTTTTTTTTTGGCATTTTTTAACTCCGTCCAATATGAAAAGAAAATAAGTAAACTTAAGCTTAGTGTTGTGGATTTACGATTTCCACTCGAATGCCGTTTTATCAACAGACAGATCAATGTCAGTGTTAATTACATGAATTTGAAGTTGTGCTGTCAAAAGAAACGACTATTTGCATACAAGGTAAAAAAAAGGTTGAGAAGTTTTGAAGTAGACGAATATGTTATTGAATGCTGACAAACGTTATGTGTGAGTCACGCATCACGGGTGACTTAAAATTAATTATAAATGATAACCTGGGCCGAATAACGAAATAGTGTATTGACCGTTGGATTAAGTTGCTCCAAATTATATCAATTTCATGATTTATTAGCATCAACGTTTGACTGATCATTACTATCACAATAAAGGTTTGCCCCTTTTTCCTTGAGGAAAATACAGTTAGAAAGTTTTGACGTCATAGGTTATAATAGGAACACTGTGGCCTCCTACTAAAACACACCCTCTTTACTTTCGTCATTACCTGTACCAGCGCCTTTTCCGATTGATGCCCCCCCCGGCCCCGTAAGGTTGGCTGCCACCCTGAGCAACTAAAAGTTATCCTGAACATTCGAAGTGAATAAAATTTTTCTAAATATCAAAATATGCTTGAAATTTTACAAGAAGCTGACTTTCTAGTAGTTTTTTTTTGCGGCTTATGTCTAGTAAGTAAAGGTTTTGAAAGCATATACTCATTAATGTTCTGAAGACAAAAGGAAATCATGAAGAGAACATCTGATGAAAGAGTTTGGTTGTCATAGTAAACCTTATCCTGCAGTTTCTTATAAGGCTCTGTTGTATGATAATGACCCCCCCCCCCTCCTCGAAGTCCTTATTGGCAGTCTATCTTTTTATAGTGCCCCCAGTGAACTGATCAGTCCTTCGTTCCCTGAAAAGCCAAGTGACCCCCCTTCTCAAAAAAAAAAAAAAAAAAAAATCCTCCATCTGGAATCGTCTGTGAATGAGAAACATTTCTGCAATGCATTTAAGTTGGCTCCCTTATGATCTCATAAGATGCACTCATGGCTTTTAATAGCTTTAAATGTAATACAACTCCAGCACCTTTCAGATTTGAAAGAAGAAAATACTCTCACTCTTGCGCTATACAGCCACCGCAGTTTCACATCCTTCTGAAATTGGTAAGTGTATGTCAAATCAACAAATAGTGCCGTTAAATTCTCGGTATCTTTCGTGATCTTCGAATAAGGTATGAATAATATCTATCTTCTTCACTTGAAGTCTTCATCGCCGGTATCATGCCCTTTTCGATTGCCCGTAACTTGTACCTCCAGAGTACTTGAACGTGTTATTGTCTTAACAATCAAATTCTTACAAGAAATACTGACAAATAATGGATTATTTTGAAGGTTTAGAACTACAAAGTGAGAAAGGATTGCAATAACAATTAGCGTAATATGATCGTTATCTGCCCCTCTCAGAATACAACATAACATGTTCTTTCAAATGTCATCTTTAATTCCCTTAAGTAGGACTTAACACATAGGTTATATGATGTTTGTGACAGGTATAAAACAGTTAACATGGCGACTACAAAAAGCGATGCTTCATAATTACATTAGCAATGGAGGCAACAATAAGTGTGAGAGAGGGAGGGAGAGAGGAAGGGACAGAGAGAGAGAGAGAGAGAGAGAGAGAGAGAGAGAGAGAGAGAGAGAGAAAGAGAGAGAGAGAGAGAGAGAGAGAGAGAGAGAGAGAGAGAGAGAGAGAGAGAGAGAGAGAGAGGGAGAGAGTAAGAACTCTGTCGCTCTTTTCCGCGGCTCTGCAGCGAGGCAGATTTTTTCCCCTTTATTTTTATCCAGCTTTGAAGTGATCTTGGGTTATTTGGCAAGAGAAACATAGAAGGGAATGTCAACGGCGCCGTTGGCGACCCTCTAACAGAGTTACGCTCTATTCTCGCGAGATAAACCAAGATGACCTCTCTTCAATGCGTGCTTCTCAAAAATAGTCCTTAAACCCTTAATAAAAAATAATGAATACCCTGAAGATTTACCCCCAGCTGAGGGAAACGACCTACTAACCTTGGCAAATGATGATAGTTTTCTAATTTTGAAGTCACACGGCACTTAAACGAAAGTCGTAAACGTATGTTAAAAATGAATTTATTAAGCGAAATTTTGCTCTCCGAAGAGTGAAATGATCATAAAATATGATTATGTGAATAGTAATTCACACCGGGCAGCTTTTCCTTTTTGTGGTGAAATCAGACACCAGATAGGTGCAGTACTTTGCGGCCGCCATATTTTTCAAGTACTACGGGCTTACTCGAAAGGGCGTAAATATGGCGTCCTTAAAAAATTTCTGTTTGACTTTTCGGCAAGTAACTCATCGGCCTAAAATGCTCTGATCTGAAACCTTTACTCCAATATGATGTGTTATTTCTTAGTGGCGTGACAATAGAAGACCATTAGCAGAGACTGACGGCGCTTAACCTTTAGCACAGTTAACACAATTGAGACCCCAATTTGACAGACAGCTTTACATACATTTAATAGTCTATCGATAGCATGATAACTCCTTTACTCGACACGAAAAGGTCACCATTAGTTTTATGTTCCTCCCGAATGAATTAGCCTCCTGTTCCTTTGGTTTTCTAAGCGTAACGAATAGACAGAAGCGTTCTCGTTGGGTAGACGGCTTTTTTAAAAACAGAACAATTAAAAATGACAATATGAAATGATTGCAGATGAAACAGGAAGTTATTTTTTGATGTTCCTTTGAAACACGAAATCTGTTGTGTTCGTTGAAAAGTTCACTTTTCCCAAGGCAATGTTAAGAAACTCTAGAACCTGAGACTCTTCGCACATTTTGCACTCATTTATAAATTCATATCAGTATGCGTACAATAACAACTTATTTGTTGTACAAATAATACCTTTAAATTTTCCATTGTTCAATTATAATTTTCAGTTACATTCGATGGAGTGCAAGTTTGAGAAGGACAGTGGGGACTGAGGTCAAAATGTACGATGGCGCAATCCCTACAAATGTATCTGTTGCCGCTCAAGATAATTCTACCGGCTTATCGGAGGATGATCCAACCTCTTATTTGGAGCCGATCGCTCTCAAATTATTTCGCTTTGTAATCTACGCTGTAATCATCATGTTTGCATTGGTGGGCAATGTAGCCGTGTGTATTATTTCAAGTCGCACTCGTCGCCTTCAGACCAGCACGTATTGTCTAGTAATGAACTTGGCCATTTCGGACATCGGATCCGTGCTTTGTCTGCCGTTCCTGTTACCTGAACTCTTCGATGGAAACTGGATGATGGGGGAAGCCATGTGTAAACTGCTCAAACCCAGTGTTGTGGTGTTCAACTTTGTAACAACAAACACGTTGGTGGCTATAGCATGTGATCGTTTTCGCGCCGTGGTATTCCCGTTCGTAACGCGACCATCAAAGTCAGAAATACGCTTGATCATCGCACTACTTTGGCTGATCGCCTTTTTGTTCTCTTTGCCTATGTATGGTGCACAGACCGTTAAAGTGTTTCCAGAAAGTCCTGACATCTACTACTGTTTGGATGTTTTCTCAGACGGCGACACGGACAAAGACACTTTCTATCGTCGTATATACACAATAACGATGTACGCTGTACAGGCTCTTCTTCCAGTGCTGGTCATCTCGGCCTTGTATCTAAAGATCACAGCCACTTTAAAGAATATACATCTTGTGCCTCTAGCACTACGGCGCAGTCATTCCTGTTCGCTTAACTCCACGCCCAACATAAGTCCACACTCATCCATCTTAAATTTAAACAAACTGAACATGAATCCCGCGGGCGCACAGCGTCGACAGATGTTGGAGAAGAAGTTTCTTAGGATGTTGCTCACAGTACTTATTGTTTATGTGCTATGTTATCTTCCGTTCCAAACACTGTTCCTCGTTTACGAATTTAATCCAGGTTTGGGCTACCTGAATTACATGCAAGCACTGTCGGAGTACCTTTACATGATCGTGTGGCTGCCGAATGCCATAAATCCGATCTGTTATGGATGCCTGAATGAACAGTACAAGCGCGCTTTTAAGGCTCTGATATTAAGACCTCGTTCGTACTTTCAGTCTGTCAGATTGAGGCGCAGGCTTTCTAAAACTGTCATCACCGATGTGCAGTTGAAGGATATTGCAGCGTAGCTACCCTTTATAAACAAGCTTAGTTTTCTAACGTAACCCACAAGGAATCATTAAGCCGGTTGTACTTTTTGTGGTAAATCACTAACCGGGAATCAATGGATAAATATAATTCTGTTGATGTAGTAAAACAATCCTCACAAGGTCTGCTAATTACGTGCCGTACAATACCGTATTAGAGTAAAAAAAATAGGAAAAAATGTTCTAATAACAGGATCTTCGGAAGTTGTGATTGACGAAAAGAGGGGCCATTCCCATCCATCTCCCACGCTTAAACTTCTTGGAATTGAGCGCCACACTGAGTGTATTAAATAGAAAGTACTAAAATGATTAAAAAAAAGTTGAATATCCTTATAAATAATGGCTCAGCTTTATCTGAAGAACATTCTATTGGGTCACATCCCATCCACCTTTCCCGTATATTACTGAATTAGTTAAGCAGATGAGTGCAATAGTAACGACATTATAAATTAATGAGGAAAAAATTTCTCGAACAAGTGATCATCACTAGTGCTATTCTGAAATATGTTTACCCGCATGAAATGTATTGTGGACTCATCCACGGGTAAAACAAATTAGGTATGTACTGGAAGACAATACTATCAACGAAAAACAATAATTTCACCATATTACATATTTTTTCTCTTCTGTTTTTTTGGGAAGCTAGGTACTTTTCCAACTTCTCGATGCGTTCCAGGCATAGCCATTTTTTTCTCTCAAAGTTCGTTAGCTGGTCTTCTTTCTCTCTCTTCTTCTTTGTTCTGGGAACTTCATGTAAAGTCCCTTTCGGGCTGCCATTTGGAGGCTTCTGATTATGATTTTTGGGTATCTTTTGAACTTTATTGTCTTCGTTCCTACCTGTACCAGTTCGCTTACATTATTTTTTTTTCTGTGTAATAAAAAATCGCAAAAATTATTGAGGTCTTATCCCTGTTAGGAAAAGGCCCTATAGAAACAATTTTAAGGCTCTTTTTGACCTTTTCTTCATTCTGCTTGTTTTACGTCTCGCCATGCCACGTCAGAATGGCAGCCGCGAAAGCTGTCACGTATGTTAAGAATTTTATCTTATCACGTTGTTTGTATCCTCTGATTAGTTCTAGCAGAAGAAAATTCGTTTAGGAAAATATCAAGAGCTTTCTAGTTGGCAAATGTTCACTTTCAAGGCGAGCTTCAATCACCAGATGTTCATATTTTTTTTCAGGGCGCCATATTTGTACTCCACAGGGAGGCACGAATGCAGCGTGCCCATACCGGGCATCGCAGCATATCTGCTGTATTTAAAGGAACAGATAATTAATCTATGGTAAACTGCGTAAAGCTAAGGCTTACGAACTTTTTATAGTTATCTGTGATCAACAATAATTTTGTTATTTGCTTCAGGTCTAGATACACTTGATTTAGTTTTGTGGTGTGACAGTCAAAATGCTAATGAAGTTTTCCTTTTTCACAGGATGTCCACGCTGTTTTAACTACGGACCCTTTTCAGAACGCCTGGATTTTCTACCAAGTCTGATTCTTTTATTTCATCTTGATTTAATTTTTTTTTTGCGTATGCCTTGAGCTTTCTCTGAGAGTTCTATCGCAAAATCTGTTTATTGTCCAGTGGCTATTTGACGGCGTTGTCAAGACACCTGTTTTAAAGTCAGGATTTCTTTTGTCTTTCCACTCTGTTTTGAATTGTGCTTCCTTCGATTCATGATTGTATCTTAAAGCAGAACTGATTTTATCTCTGATCCCACTCCTGATGGTATCAGCAAAAACCCCTATACCTTGCTTTCACAAGATGAAAACCTTTTCCCCTCGAAAGCTTTTCTGTTCTTGATGACTTTCTGTAGATGTGGAACTTACGATACGTATTCTCTTTCAACTAGCTTTGTATCCTATTTAACTGGCGGTTTTAGCGTTCGTGCGATGATTTTTTCAGCTAATTTTCCGTACAATAGGTGCTTAAGGTAGAACGGCGGACAACTTTTTAAATCGAATTTTCTTTTTTCATTTGGAGCGCCAATAAAGGCAACATCATACATTTGAACAATTTAACAACATGCGCTGCGCAGCTAATATGTCTTTGGTTACCAACAAGAACAGAAAAGTGGAAAAACTGCTATGAAAAATTTACTAAGTGGATGTTTCGATGGTCCTTGTCCGTGCGATTATTGGCGACTACGACATAGGGCTCATCAGCTGCGGTGGTCTATCATTCTTTCCTACTTCAACTAAGCTCAAGTTAATAACTAAATGAGCGTTTTATTTGCCCGTTTACAAGGTACAACATTCTCTGTGGAAACGTATCGGCTTGGGCAGGCTGTAATCTATGTAAACAGTTCAGACCCTAAAAGATATTTCAAGATAAAACAATTCTTGACTACCTTTGCGGAAAAATGTAATGAAACTTCTGAAAACTTTACGAAATTCAATCGTCAGAGCTGAAATTCGTTCCGTGAATGCGCTGCGTTGGTTTTAACGGCCGAGTTGGTGGTGTGCTTTTTCACTTGCTTTGGCATCAGGTTGGAAACCTCTTCATATTTTTTAAACGTTTATGAGAACTATAAAAAGTTGAGACAGTATTAGGGCAAGATATTAGACCGACCATAGTAGCCTAGTATCCGTGATTTGTTGGCAGGATTAAAAACCCAATAAACTAGACTGCATGTAATGACAAATCGTCAAATACTTGCAAAAAAAATACTTCGTGGCTAGTGGAGATTTAGCTAAAGAATTAAGCATAACCAAAAACAGAACAGAGGAAAGAGTTTTAGTCCCACGCCTCATTGAGCCAAAGCTTTATGATAATACAATGCAGTTGTTACTCATATGAATGAACTCATATAAGATACTTTTAGTGGTGAATAAGCTTTCTAGAGGGAAGGATGGCAAACCCATTTAAGCACAAAAGGCGCTGTGATTAATATTTATGTTTGATATTTAGTCTAGAGCATAACACTTGGATAGTAACTATAGTTAGTAATCAATATGCCAATTTTCAAAATAACCTCTCTGAATACAAATGGACCATTTGCATTCTCTTAAGAGTTACTTCGTAATAATGAAAGCGCGGTTTGTTAAAGTGAATTGGACTGTGACAGCCATAAATAAGTAATTGGCTTGAACTCAAATTTCTTCAGAGAAGCCAAAAGTGTTTTAGTGTACTTCGCGGATCTACTTACTAATGCGTTTTGACTTGATCGAGCTTGACTTTCCATTACTTGAAAACATATTAGAGAGCGATGAATAGAATCTTAAAGAAAATTATCAGTCCGGAGAGCACGGCTGATGTAATTAATTTTATTTTGGTTAACTTCGCTTACAGAGCTATAGCCTCTTGAGCCACCAAATATATTTTTGCCACAAGTACAGTTTTCATTTAAAGATATTTCTATTGATTTTGATGTCAGAATGGAACGGGCCGGTTCAAATTTATGGATTCGCATCGATTTCCCTTCCAATCCGCAGGCATATCTCGTACACCGTAAACTTGTTTTGGTTCTTAATACTGTACTTGGAACAAGTGCAGATGTTTGTTTTTCTCAGCCAAAGTGGGAAAAAAAATAGTGGAGAAAAAAGCTCGAAAACTTTGTTTTTGTTCTTCATTTTATTCAGTCTTCTTAAGATCTTCAATTTTCCATTCCAGCTTTGTCTTTTATTTTAATAAAAAGTGGCGATGAGACTTGTTTAGACAAAGAACTAAAAAGCTTTTGATCTCTGATAGCTTTAATCGGGAACTTTACCATATTTTGTCAAAACAATATACATAAAAGAGGTCCATTTTTTTTTCAAGAGTTACACAAGCTAGGTTAAGAGAGCGAAACTCGAACAAGTTTTATCTCAGCAAATTGTGTTAAAACGCTTTGGTAGTATTTCAATGTATTACTCTTGAGGTTTGTTGCAGCACTTATGAGGTTGTTTCCATAATTTTTTCCCGACGAATGGAATGGTAAACACTCTTAGGGAAAATAAGTTTTTGTCCAGTAGACGCCAAATATCATTAATCGAATCCACTCAAAGTCAAGAAAGTTTGAAAAATTGACAAAAGCTTTTTTTTTTCGCAGTTCCTTGATGAGGAAATTATGCTATTTTCAGGGTCACGATAATGAACTAAATTCGTTTTGGCTTGGTATAGCGAATCATCTGTTTCACTAAGCCCTATGGAGGCAACGTTACAACGTTCTACTCGGACGGACAGACCTACGGACTAGTTGATCACGGACTTCTCTGTAAGGGTGGCTGGAATGAAAACTTAACTCTTGAAAACATTATATCTCAGTAAAATTCCTCATGTTAGCACCAGGGGAGGAAACTGCCAGAATACTGTAGTCAAGAAAATAATTTTCAAAATTTATTGAGAAGATTGTCTATTCAATCCTTCACGCTTTTCATGACTTCTGAAATAGAACAAAAGTAAGTATCGCGCTGTGATTTGAATAAAGGAAATGAAATTCTTAAAAGGCACAAAGACATCGAGTCGTGCACGGCTCAACAAAATTTCTTCATGAAAACATTGAACATTTTCTGGTGTTTAAGTTCTGACTCAGAGCTAATCTTGATAAAACGAATAATTAAAAAAGGCTTTTTTTTTAAAAAAAAAAAATCGAGTCTACTGATTACATTGTTGCTTTGCCCATTTTCCCCTTCTGATCTTAAATCCCTTCATTGAGAAGATTATACCATAATGATATCATCTTGTATTTGAAACTAAAAAGAAGGAAAGGTCTCATTTTCGTTTTTAATCTCTTACGGTCTATATCGTAAGATGGTTTAACTTGGCCAAAAATATCTCTCGTGACAAAATATCAAACCCCTATGTGGTGGTGTCCTATAAACTGAACAAGTACTAAGGTTTCTCTTCGTGAGGAAAAATGATTGTAATGTGTCGTTGTTCCGTAGCATTGATTGAGTTCTCATAAACTATGAGACTTTGCATCACCAAAGACATCTCTAAGACTCATCCTCGGGAAAAACACGTTCGAAGAAACGTCATCAAATAAACTGTTTTCCAGAAATGGTAGATTAGATTTCATCGAAGAGGAACGCTTTTTTATATTGGTTTTGGAAAACACTCCAAAATTAAACCTTGATTAGAGATTGTTTTTCATTTTAGTTCCTCGTTGCTAGAAATTGCCGCGCCATTAAGTCTCCCCCACTTTTACTGAGAGTACGTAAATCCCATTATGAGGCTTACCGAGAGATCGTGGTCAGGAAAGGGGCGTTAATCCGGCCATTTATTGTAATAAAGTTGATCGTGAATGTAATATTTTAGATCTATTTTTTGAGACAAATTTAAGTTGAAGCTGCAAATAAACCAAAAAGGGATCTATAGGGCTTTTAAAATCCTCATTTACACTTAATTGCAATCCATCGTAGAATACCGACAAGAAGTGGCTCCTGATTCAATCACTTGGGAACATAATGGCTGGGCGTAAACAGTGTCATTTATCCCGAAACGTATGGCAGACGTACTCACGCGCCAAGTTAATTGATGAGCGTGCTCAAAGCTTTACGTAAGTAAGTACGTAATTTTTGAAATAATATCGTGCTAACACAACTTGAGTCTTTACTCGAACACTTGCCTTCTACCATTGTAGACTCTTAAAATGCTTGACAGAGTGACATTTAAAACTTTAAATGCCATATCTTTTTGCTATCCGCATTTAGCCATTTAAGTTATTTCTTACCCCTATAATCTATTATAAACCAAATTCTTGTGCCTTAAGCGAAACATATATTGAAGCTCTCCAACAAAATTAAAAGCATGCTATTGAACGACAAACTCACATTTTTGCCAATTTACTCGCTAAAGTTTTGAAAGCCTTGATTCAGTTTTATGAACAATCTTGTAACTTTCTGCAGCTTTTAAAACTTGCTGCAAACTAGAAAAACTTCCTGAGACGTCACTTCTGAAAAACAATACTACTTAAGGGGCTCTTAATTGCTTTTTGATCCTCATTTTCGCAAATCCATTTAAATTGATTAAAGATCAGGTTTAAAATTAACATCTTGGACGCATTACCAGTATTAAAGACACTGAAAAGTTTCTCGAACATCATTTTGATTTGGACGTTTAGATCTCCACACTTCAAAATGAATAATACTTCCCAATGCATAGGAGACGTAAACATTGAAGGAGAATCTACCATCAAAATACTGGTATACAGTGCTATTGCGCTGGTTTCTCTGCTCGGAAACAGCCTTCTCATACTCGTTTTCTTCAGATCAAATTCTGTGAAGAAAGCAACAAACGTGTTCATTATCAGTATGGCTGCTTCAGATCTCTTTTTTCCTGTTTTTCTGATTCCGCGTTTAATAATCCAAACCGTTACAGGATTGTCACAAAACGTATTCCTCATCCACGGAGCTATGGGTTCTTTTCTTTGTAAGATCTCCAACTTCTTCACCGACATGTCCATTGCGGTGTCAACACATTCCTTGGTCATGATTACCATGGAACGGTTTCTAGCTATCGTTTTTCCATTCAGAATTCGTCAACTCTCTTCCAAAGCACGTCTCTACGCCATTTTGATGGTGTGGATCATAGCGATGGGGATTCACTCACCATACTTCTACACATATAGATTGACGAGTTCAGGAAGCTGCTCACACAACTGGGAACCAGCATTCAACCACGAAATCACGCACACCCGCTTTTACACTGCCCAGTTCGTGGTGGTTGTCATTTTGCCCTTCACGTTGATTACCGTCTTGTATAGCGTAATGGTTTGCTGCCTCTTCTTAAACAAAGACAAACTCATAATACATCGCCCCAGCAAGGATGCTTCCAAAAGAAGAAGCGAAGCAAAAGAACTCAGAATGCTCAAGATAGCAGCGACGATTGTCATTGCCTTTGCACTGTGCTGGGGTCCTTTCAACATTATTCAATTCTTTCACCTGTTTGCCCCAAGGAAACTTGAAAACATTGATTGCAAGATAAAGCATATGCTGTCTCAAGTCGCGCTTATGATGGCGACTGCTAACTGCACTGTTAATCCAATCGTTTGTCTGGTCTATCTAAGGAACTATCGTTTACAAGAGAGTTTGGCAAGTTTACGGTCACAATTCAGCAACATTTCTAAAGGGAGTCAACGAGAGACTGAACTATAAGAATCAAGTGTTTGGTTCATGATGTACACCTATTATGCACACGTACAAGAAATAAGTACCTTTGCTCATAAATCAGTTTTATCGAGAGATATGGTAACATTCTTGAAGAAACAGTTTAACTAGTCAAAAAATCTTTTTTGAATTCTACATGAAGTGCAAAAAACTGCAAAACAAAGCAAAGACAAGAGACTTCGGGAGGGGGAAGACGGAGACTTCGGGCGGGGGGAGGGGGGTGGGGGGGCTTTCGTCTTTTTCCGAACAGTTTCAAATTTCCTTTACAAAGGAAGCAAAGAGCTTCTCAGTACCTTTCATTAAGTAACTGATTCATTTTACTTGTCCATAAGTATCATAAGTAGGTATCTCAGTATATTCAGATTTCAGATTGGATCAGGCTATTATAGTTACAATGACCATATTTTCTGGTTTTGCTAAATAGTTTAGCTTGATTAGATTTAAGCGATTTTTAATAGCAATGAGGGATTTGAATTGACTTTGCTTCCGCACGATTCATAATTTTCTTATTTACACAAGCCGTCTTAACAGCCAATCCTGAGATACGATACTAAAACAATTACTATAATATTTTGTGTGTTTTTATAATAATTTTTCATTACCTTATGGCGATATATTGTGGGGAATTAGCGAGGAGCCCACACTGTCACTGTTTTCTTCCAGAATTTATTGCTCAAAAAAGCAGACAGAACAACGTTACCCGAAGTCTCTGTCCGTCTAAAAACTACTCACAATGATTTTCTTATCTCATGAACACACCTTGATCAAAACGTAAGTTGATTGGCTATAAAGTTCTTCCCAACAAAGATAAACAAACTGATTTATCGGAGCGGACAGATTGTGACACTCGATTTCCTGCAGATAATTTGACTCGTTACAATATTAATTATCCTGTTTCCGACAATATTATTTCGCTCTGATTATATTTAACCGTTGGGATTTGTAAATTTTTGGTTTTCCGACATTTGGAGGAAAAGTACTTAGTCTGCACGACTTGATGATCATTTACAACTTGCATTTGGTATAATTTATAAATTGATAAAAATTTGGCTGCGGTTAAGCTTTTTTGTAATGTGCATCCTACTTCGGTCGAAATTATCATTGTAGGTGTTCTTTCAGTGACTTTAAATAGTATTGCGTAACCTTTACTATTGTAATATGATTGACAATTAGCTGATCAATGTCGTTTTGTTTAACCCGAAATAGAATATGATTTGTAACGTAGAACCTTGGCAATTTATTCTACACGTGGAACGTGCAGTTGTGATTTTGGCTTACCCGTTTATGGCTTACCCGTTTTATGTATTTATTACTGAATTCAAGGTTTACTTTGGAGTCTCGTCCCGAAGTTAGTGATTAAGTTTCTCTTTTCTCGATTGTTTGTAAGAAATGGATTTAGAGTTTTCTGTTATATGCTTGTTAAACAGAACATTATCTCGCATGCAGACACCAATTTAGATCCTGTGCATTAGGAATACTTGGAAGTTAGTGTTTATTGATTATCAGATAAGTTTCGCTCATTTAAGATTAACCTATTATATTTAAGTTCCTGTATATATTGTCTTTATTTCAGATCGAATAAAATAGAACAAAATACAACAAACTATACCAATTTGTGTTTATACGATTCGAGAATCCGAAGTCCGTATATTGGGTTTTCACCGCCGAAGGAACGGTGTACTAGGATAATACTTGGTCTGACTGCTTCTTGGTGGTAGCTTATTAGTGCATGCTAAAAATTCTCTACAGTATTTTAAAAGATTATCAAATTTTGCCTCGGCCATTTTTTAAATTCTGATGAAATGTTTAATCTTTGGTAAGGCCTTGGCAACACTTTGCTTATGTGATGTAGAATTGAATCTGGTTTAGTTTGGTTGCAATAGGTGATCTTATTTCTCTCAGATTTGAATGATGATTGAATAGAATACATTTGACGAATGCTAACGGGGCGTGGAAATCTTAATAAATTCCATTCGAAATGCACCTAGCTAGCAATTATTTACTAAATATATAAGATAAATGATGGCGAAATTAGCCGTATAGTTCTACTACTGTGTAATGGAATTCTAAAACTGAGAAACAACTGAGCCAATTCGTGCCCAGAATACCAAGCATGGTCAACTTTGAGCTCAGTCGTAAAATTAAGGAAAATGTTTTGGTATTTGTCGTGAACATGGGACGACAAAACCCCAAGAATCTGCGTCACTGGTGTAAGTGATTTGATCAGTGTAATAACTCACATGACGCTTTTGACTTTGCTCATCCTAGCAGTAGGTAGGAAACCTGTCACACATAGTCCGATGAACCTACTGTCGTGCGGTGAATGGTTTGAACCCGGGGGTAACATGTGAATGTGTAGTGTGATCGTCCGGGTGAGTGTAGTCCTGAGAAGGACTGTTGTCGGTG